GAATAATAACAACATTTTAATACCATAATTTACATCCTATGGTTTTGGACATTTAACTGGACTTGAGTGTTTAGAATGTATTTACCTAAATGCTACAAGCTTTTTTATAGCTGGTGCTCCTTCAGGTGCTGCCAAAGCCAGCTAACTGTTGAACCAACTTCTGAGTTTGAATAATTGCTCTTCTCTGCCTAAATTGGAAGTCCTACATTGAAATTTCAGATCTGAACATGAGAACACTCTTAAAAAATTCAATGTCAACAATTCATAGCCAATATATCCTAAACATTCTATAGTATCTTTACATGTTTCTAATATTTATTTGTGGTGTACTTAGGGCCACGAACAGTCCTGGGGAGGTGGCTTGTCCCTGGTCTCTGCGAGGGCCGTGGTTCTCTCAGACTGTATATACTGGGTAGGATGTAGCAGAGACTAGGAAGGTAAAAGGAAGCAGAGAAGGTGAAAAGGAAAAAAAAATCCATCTAAAACTCAGCCTTTCCTGTAAGATAGATGTCAGTCTCTTACTGTACCATCATAAGTATTTTTTAATCAAAGTATATGCATAAGAAAAATAAAGCTTTATTTATTGTACTTTAAAAAGACCTTTACAAACCTTCATAATTTATGAACATAGGATATAGTCTATCTTCATTCTAAATGTGTGTAATGCTTATAATTCTATATTGATGTAATTGTGGATACATTGACTTTAATAATTTTCAAAAGAGTTAAAAGATTATAATAATTAAAATCATGCTTTACTTAACTATATTGTCCACAGGGATAAGTAATTTCTGAGAAATGTATCACTAGGGAATTTTTTTGTGCAAACGTAGTTTAGTCCACTTACATAAGCTAAGACAACAGTACCATTTGATGATATAAACTACAGGACCACTCTTCTGTGTTGTCCACTATTGACCACATCACTGTGCAGAACACTGGTGCACACAACTTGAAACCACTGTTGGTTTGGCCCATCTTTTGTCATTGCTCTTCATATATCTTCATAATAGTGATGTAAGAAGCTA